GTATTTTGTGGTATCACTGCTTGAGTTTCATTTAGATCAGTGGTTCTCAACCTTCCTAATGCTGCGACCCTTTAATTCAGTTCTTCATGTTGTGGTGACCCCCAACCATCAGAAATCTGTGTTTTCCGATGGTCTTAGGTGACTCCTGTGAAAGGGTCGTTCAACCCCCCAAAGGGGTTTCCACCCACAGGTTGAGCACCACTGCTGAAGACTAACAGTCAAGCGCAATCCTTAGGGTCACCTGGGGACCTAAGGCTTGGTATAGATTTCAGAAAAACCAAACTAAACTAAAAAGAGCAATTAGAAGAAAAAAAGTGTTGTTGTTAGGTCACGTCATCGTTAGGTCATGTTGAGTCGGTTGCAAGTCATGGGGACCATGAACGACTGAACCCCGCCCTGAGCGGTCCTGAGCCCTCCTCACCATCGCTCCTATGGCTGACCCACGGCCGCAGCGACTGTGTTCACCTGTCTCCAGGAGGACCGGCCCCTTTTGCTGCCCTCTTCAGGGACTGCTCTCTCCCGACAACATGTCCAAAATGCACAAGACAAGTCTCATCATCCGGGCCTCTAAGGAGGGACTCTGGTTTTGGCAGCACGTGGTACTTTTGCTATTTGGGGCAGCACCACAATTCACACGCCGAGGAGGCACTGAAAGCACCGTGCCCGGGTCAGGCGCACCTGGGCCTCAACGTAACCTCCTTGCTCTTCAACACTCTAAAGAGGGCTCGTGTAGCTGACCTACCCAACACAGTGTGTCTTTGCATCTCTTGACTGACTGCTGCTTCCTGAACGTTAATTGTGGATCCCAGCAGGATGAAATCCTGGACAACTTCAGTCTTTCCTCCTCTTATCATGTTACCTATTAGTCCAGCTGGGAGGATTGTGGTTGCATTTACGTTTGAGTTGTAATCCATACTAAAACATCTTCATCGGCAAGTGCTTGAAGTCCTTCTGACTTACAATAAGCAAGGTCGTGTCATCTGCAGGTTCTTAGTAAAACTTCCTCCAATCCGGATACCACATTCTTTTTCATATGGTCCAGTTTCTCTGGTGATTTGCTCAGCATGCAGATTGAATAAGTGTGGTGAGAGGCTACAGCCCTGACCCACACCTTTCCTGGTTGTAAACCACGCGGCATTCCTTTGTTCTGTTTGCTCATATGCCTCTTGATCCACGCACAGCGTCCACATAAGCACAAGGAAGTGTCCGGGAACCCAGTTCTTCTCAAGGCTATCCGTAGGTTTTTATGATTCACATAGTCAAATGTCTTTGCATGGTCAGTGAAACACAGTTATCGTCTTTCTGTTATTCGCTCTTTGAGCCAAAAATCCACCTGACACCAGCAGTGATCGCCCTTGTTCCATGTCCTCTTCTGAATCTGGTCGGACCTCCGGCAGCTCCCTCTCAATCGCTTCTACAAAAAAACATCTGCCTGCCAGATGCAATTTTAAAACGAAGACACGATTTTAGGTGTACCCGGTCTGTGCTTATTAAACAGAGGTTGTTAGGAGGTTTGCTATGATTTGGCTTTTGGGAGTAAAATGCAGGGTTTTCTGAGTCTAGAGTTTAATGTTGCAGAATGTTCACAGACCACCTTTGGGGGGACAGGAAGAACTGACGCAAGCCTTCAATCAGGCGGCTTACTCGAAATCAAGTAGCCGAGTCTGCTGAAGTGACAGACATCAGAGGAGGCCGAGGAAGTGAATAGCAGAACTCAATGGCAAAAACGAAGCGAACGCTCATTAATGACTGAAGTCCGGGACAGCAGCATTCAATGTTTCCATCGACCAGTGGCAGTGCTTTCCAGGCAGGCATCCCCAGCTGTATCTGCCCAGGTTGGAACGATGAAGAAGAACGCAGGCCGGGGAATTAGGTCACGTAGAAGGCCGAGATTGGAGGCCTGACTGCTTCCCTGCTCTCGCGTGCTCCTCCCACCTCTTCCAAGCAAATAGAATTTATTGAAGGAAAGCTCTAAGTACCTTCTCAGGACCCTCTACAGCCCCCTGTTCCCAAGATCACCCAGGGGTCAGCACATCGCATCCTTCTGAGCTCAGCTGCTTTTTGGCATGCACACATGCGTACATATACACCACAGTCTTTGCTCTTTCTCCACCCACCGGAGGTCCCATTCAGCGATGGTGTTCTTTACAATCAGCAGTTCTCAACCTGTGGGTTGCGACCCCTTTGGGGGTCAAACGGCCCTTTCACAGGGGTTGTCCAATTCATAACAGTAGCAAAGTTACAGTGATGGAGTAGCAACCAAGATAATGTTATGGTTGTGGGGGTTAACACAACATGAGGAACTGTATTAACGGGTCATGGCATTAGGAAGGTTGAGAACCGCTATTTAAAATAAACTTTATGGAGGTACAATTTACAAATAGTAGGACACCCATGTTACGTATAGTTTCGTGAGTTTTGACAAATGTACCACCTTTGTAGCCGATCCCCTAATCCCACCACAGGCCGTTCTAACCATTACCCCACCTCTACCCCATCTTCCACCCTTACCTCCTTCGGAAAAGCTCTCCTTTATCCCTACAGAGTCTACCTCATCTCTGTTTGCATTTTTCCCACCACACAACACAATCTGCGTGGGACACGCAATCAACCCTCGCTTGCGTTTCCATCTGGACATTGGCCTGGGCGGTGGAGGGGGGGGTGGTGTGAATCAGACTTTAAAAATTTCAAAACAACTGCGTGTTTGCTGCTCGTATCGACGACCTCTTTCGTCACCATGGAATTTCTTGGAAGCAAAACAGCTGGGAAAATACCAGGGCAGCTTCCTGCCCTTCCTTGTGCAAACACTACAGCACAGAGAGGGGGCAAGACCTCCCACCATCCCTGGGTCCCCATCGACTGGTCCCAGAAAGTATCATGTCTCGGCTTTCTATGTGCTTCTTTACTGTTTTGATTTGCATGAGGTTGAGCATCAGTCTTTCAAGTACTTGGATTTGGTTTGCAATTCTCAGAGATTGCTTTAGGCAAGGGGTGTCAAACTCAGTTACAATGTGGGCCATTTGGTGCAACAGGCAAGATTCATGCGGGCCACATCCCATTGACAAACTTTGTTAAATTTATATTTTGAAGTGATGATTCAGGAATATGGATAGGATCATTAAAACACCATATAATTGCTTTTATATAATGTATTTATAAAACTAAAATTATTCTTTTTTACCCAAAACTTGCCAGCGCTTTCCTCCTACTAGTTTTCTCTTGCCTCTTATGTTGTGACCAGAAAATATAACAAAGTAACTAATAAAAAACACAAAATGTTGGACAGCTGACATATGTGATGCACAATCGTAATGGCGCCCCTCTGAAAATGTTAACTCGCGCTGCCCCTAGGTACAATTCATAACACCACGACCCAGAGGGCTCTTTCCAACCCTTTCGCTATTGGGATATATTTAGATTACGTGACACTGAGTGTGGCAGACATATCGCTTCCAAACGTTGCTGGAACTGAGTCAGCGCGTTTATACATGTCCAGAGGCCCCCAGGAAAGATACTGGGCCATGTGTATACTCGTCTTCAGTAGTTAAAGGGTTAACGAGGGAATTGTGTGTACGGTATTGCCTCGATCTCCCCTAAGCGCTATTTTCTTCATAACATTTTTTTCTATTTTCATTTTATTTCAGAGCATCGTGGGCCACAAAAATTACCTCGGGAGATGCCTGTAGCCCCAAGGCCACCAGTTTGACACCCCTGCTGTTGAGCAGCGGTTCTCCACCTTCCTAATGCCGCGACCCTTTCATACAGTTCCTCATGCTGTGGTGACCCCCAACCATAACATTATTTTCGTTGCTACTTCATAACTGTCATTTTGCTACTGTTATGAATTGCCATGTAAATGATATGCAGGATGTATTTTCATTGTTACAAATTGAATACAATTAAAGCATAGTGATGAATCACAAAAACAATATGTAATTATCTATTGTGAAATATTTATTTCTAATGACAAATAAATGAAATGTTGTCTTGAAGCAGGGTGTAGCATGGGTAACAGTCTTCACGCCAGGTACAACTTTGTGGATGCATGTGCACGTGGGCGGACCCTCCTGGAGACAACAGAGAAGCGGTGTCTCGGTTCCTAAAACCATCGGAAATATGTGTTTTCCGATGGTCTTAGGCAACCCCTGGGAAAGGGTCGTTTGACCCCCAAGGGTTCATGACCCACAGGTTGAGAACTGCTGCTTTAGCATGAGTGTCTGAAAAGCCTTGGGAATAGATCCACTTGGGCAGAACCAGTGCGCTGTTTGCCACAGAGCCCCCGGAATGCACGCACTTAGCCAACGAACGCGCTCAAATGTGAGCGCCATGCGAGGACGGGGCAGTGGTTTGTTCTAATGCCATGTGGCCGCTCAGAGTCAGCACGCTCTGAACCGCGTCTAACAACAACCTGGAAACACAGACACACAGCCTCCAGATCATGTGACACCTCCACAAAACACTAAAAATCTCCTCACAGCCGGGCCCCAAAGCAACAGCATGAGAACTGGAGAAAAAACTTACAGGTGTCAAGGATTTCAATTTACTTGATCCACAAGCCATTCCCATGGAAGCAGCGGTCAAGGACAGTCAAGAATCAGATGACATGTTGCATTAGACCAGCCGTTCTCAACCTTTGGAGGTCAAACGACCCTTTCACAGGGGTCACCCGATTCATCGCAGTAGCAACGTGACAGTCATGAAGTAGCAACAAAAATAGTTTTATGGTTGGAGTCCCCACAACATGAGACACGTATTAAAGGGTCACAGCATTAGGAAGGTTGAGGGCCACTGCCTTAGAAGCATCTGTTTCCAAAGACGACCTCAACATGTTAAAAAGCAAAGGTGTGAGAGCTCAGGCGTGCCTGAGCCATGCCATGGTATCGTCAATGGCCTCAGAAGCATGCACAGCTGCACAATGACAGGGAAGACCAAAGCAGACGCGACGCCTTGGAGTCACGGCCTTGCTGAGGAACGTTGACGGTGTCACGGCTGCCGGAAGAATGAGCCTGTCGGTCTTGGAGACGTCCTGCCGGAATGCTCCTGAGAGGCACGAGTGGGGAGACTGCATCTCAGACATTCAACATGGTCTGAGAGGGCCTCATGCCTGGTAGAGGGGGGTGAAAAAGAGGAAGGCCTTGG